AGAGATTTCTCTTTTTATCATTTTCTTCATCTCTTCAAACAGTTTAATGTTACCAAAACAGTTTTTTCATATATCTATAAACAGCAGAGAGTCCTACCCTACAGAATACAAGAATGTCTCATTACCGTTATAAACTGATTGTTAAAATTATGGATATATTACTTTAAGTACTTACCCAATGGTAATATATGCTGTGGAAATTTCTGATGCATATTTATAGCTTCCTTTATTAAAATGACTAAATCACCATTATCATATAATATTTTCAAATATTTTCTATAAAACTTTTGTTGATCAACTGTATCAAACTCATTAATTACAGATTTAAAAACACTTTCCAATAAATCTTGATATTTACCCAAATTACTAAAATTGTCTAATAATATCCATCCAAGTGTTTTATCGACTAATTTAACTTTATCACTATCTGACACTTTTCGTAATTCACTTAAATGTTCAATGCATTCAGTTAAGACACTGATATCCTTAAGTTGTAAAGAAAGGTCTAGAAGTTTATTCAAAATATGTGTAAATTTATATTCACTGAAAACAATAAATGAAATAATGAAAATTATAAAATTTGACATAAAAATAATCTGAAAATTGTAAATTTCAAGTAGTAAGTTTAAGAAACATATAATATTTGTGAAACATTTCTTTACCTGTCTATTTGTAAAATTTTGCAGTAAGCTAATAATAATTTGTCATAACAATCATTATCCAAATTTTGTTCATAGTAAGTTATCAAACCTTTCCAAGCTAATGGATTATCTTTTTGAATGTTTATAGCGCTTTGAAGAATTAATGGTACTTCTGATTTATATTCTTCAATTTCTTTCATTGCAGCAGCCAATAATATAAGTGTAGCATAATTTTTTTTATCTTTCTTTAATATCTTCTTACATTTCTTAATCACATCTGTATACTTATTTTCTTTAAACATTTTACATGCTTCTTTAAAATTTATCTTAACCTCATCTGCCATTCTGATATTAAAAAATACTTATAAATGAAATTTAAAAGTAGAACACGTTTTTTATAATGTTACTATCTTTAACTGTTTAAACACTTTGTTTTACATTACCACACAATTTATAACTTATACACAATACATTCGCATACTTATGGACATTAACTATTCACATGGTTACTTGGGGAATTTAATGAAGTTGCCGCCCGTGAAGCGTTAAAGCATTCTGCTGGTGGTTGTTTGATACTATATCTATAATGAATGAGAAAATCTGACATTAAATTTTTTATAGAACAATAAATGAATTTAATAACAATAAGAATGTAATAATAATAATAATAACTTAATAACGATATGTTTTAACGTTTTACTATTTTCTTTTTTGCAAAATATCACGTCTAGATCCTTTGAATGGAGATAACGAATGATTATTCAAGCGTTGTTGATATTCATTATTCAATGTTAATATATTTTTGTTAAATAATAATCTCCGATTAGATTAATGATTCTACATAAAATTAATTAAGGATAAATTTGATTGGTACCCCGCATTTGTTTGTTAATACATATTGCCTTTAAAGAGAGTGTTTTACACCTCAGCAATGTTTCTATGCGTAGCAACAAGAATAAACATTTATTTAAACGTGCAGTTGCAGATAGTATTCAATGACAGTTTACGATATATATGTTATCGAGTATATTTGCTCATTGCTTCGGTTACACCGCTGTACAATTTATATTCGGTGCGTTTTAAAATTCACGCTACGAGGAGCCACATGAGCTACATAAGTCCTAACACCTGACACTTTGTACAATAGGGAATGTATTTGACTAGGGGTGGCGGTATTGTATCGATATTTTGAAAACATCGATGTTTCCTGTCGATACATCGGTGTTTGGAGATCTATGACATCGAAACCATCGATGTTTTTTTATGGTTCTGTGACGTATGTCGGCAGATTTATAAACTTCAGATCTATCACTTTGGCAGCTTATTTCGATTTAAACGGTATAGATATTCAAGCCAGTGTAAAAACAATTGAATATTATCGATGAGTTTATATTTAAAATGTGGCGTCTGTTTAGTCAGATATTCTACTATTTCGTACCACGGCTTTATGTTAGATGGCACCACAAGACATGGACTTGTGGCGACCTCTGGTTTCGTTCGGCCGCTCCGTGGAAGGGTTCGTTTCCAACGGTAGGGGGGAATCCATGAAAACCAAAAAAATCTGAAAGCGACTATTTCCGACGTGGGCGGTTTCCCTGCGGTTGGGAGAAAAAGGTCTTCCTGGTTGAGCGGTTGTCTGATCAACACCGTGCGTAACATAGTAGCGTCCTCATATAGTTTCAACGTCAATTTCGTATACATTCATATATTTACCCATAGTCTTTTAACCTTTGTATATAATCCTAGTGTAAGTGTTAAATATTAAAGTGTTTAGTGCATTAGTTACTAAAACGACGTTTCTTTTATTCTCCTACACCATCGACGCGTGGGGATTTCTAGTAACACACGTGGCGCGCCGCCACATGTTGCTGTCCTGTGGCGACCTCTGCTTCCTCTCAGCCGTACTGCCGGAAACTTTGTTTTCAGTAAACTGCCGTCCGCTGGGAAAATAAAAAGTTAGTGACTTCTGTTTCCGACATGAGACGCTTTTCCTGATGACGCTGGACGCTGGACTGAACGTCTTTTCTTCTCGAGCCACCGTGCCGTTAATATCGTTTTTCGCAGTCATTATTAATCTTTTTTTGGTACATACATCTTAGTTTAGCTTAGTGTAATATTAAGTTTTAGCTACTAAGAGTATGAATAGTACGGCTTTATGTTAGATGGCACCACAAGACATGGACTGTTGCGTGGATTTTGGGGGAATTTGAGGAAATTGTCACCCGTGGAGCGCTAAAGCGCTCTGATCGTGATCGTTTAGTAAATTTAACGAATGAGAAAATGTAACATTGAATTTTTTACAGAACAATAAATAACTTGGTAAGAATAAGGATGAACGAAATATTTTAATTACTTTTTTTATTACAAAATAATACGTCTAGATTCTTTGAGCGAGGAAAAGCGAATGAATCTTCAAGCCTCAAGCTTCATCGATATTCATTATTCAATGTTAACATGTTTTTGTTAAATAATAATTTCCAATTAAATTAAAGATTCTATATAAGATTATTTGAGGATAAAATTAATCGGTACTCCGCATTTGTTTATTAATACATGTTTCCCTTAAGGCGAGCGCTTTACACCTCACCAGTGTTTCTGTGCGTAGCGACGACGATAAACATTTATCTAAACGAGCAAGTGCAAATAGTAATCAATGAAATTTTACAGTATATTATATGCATATGTTATCGAGTTCTTTTGTTCATTGCTTCGGCTACACCGCTGCACGATTTGAATTCGACGCGTTTTAGCATTCACACTACGGGGCGCCACATGAGCCACATTACAGGACTTAGGCGCGCTAAATTCAGACTGTCAACTAGTGCAATCGAAGCAACAAATAAAAGCTTGTTAATACTTCCTCGGACTACTACTTAGCGACGCTCACTAAATAAATATTGATTTTGGTTGTTTGGCATTAAAACATGGCCAACATGTAAAATCACTTGTTCTTAATGAGCTAGGAACCAATCAAATGACTTGTTAGAGAATAAGTAGGAAAATGATTTATATTATTGGATATTAATATTAGTAAAAGCCCGCTACATTAGATTTTATGTCTTGGCGTCACTTCGACACTTATTGGCATTTTAGCACCAAAAGAAATCAGTCGCATTATTTGAATATTTTAATTTTGTAAAGTAAATTAGTAAATTAGTTTCATAGCGGGGAATAATTTTCCTTTTATCTTTATTCAGCCTTTCTTAAAAATTAATATTATACCAGAAGAGTATCCAGATCCCTTTTCCATCAAGATTGAAACCAGACAAGCTGATCGAATGCAAGCAGAGCGATCCACGGGTGGGGAACCCATTACAGTAGTGCACACATAAGCGTTCGCAGTCGGGACCAAATGCGGAGGCTTCAGTGGGGATATGACTTCTGCGAATTTAACTAAACAAAAGAGAGGAGATGTGTCTGAGTGAGATACCGATACCCGGCACGTACGAGTGCGGCAGTATCAAGTGTCAGTTGTTTACATTCAGGAGTCGATATCAAATACAGTAATGTCTCCACAAGTGTCAGTCCGCAAGGAAGTTAAACCTGACACTTGTAGAGTCAGGGACTACGTTAGAGCCTCGCGCCCGCCTTTGTAGTTTGCCGAACGTAGACAAGGACAGCAAATAAAAGATAAGGATGAAACAGGAGTCGAGGCAACCAAGCGATTTAAACACCAACTTTTTTAATTTCACGTTTCTTTATCCCGAAATTTTTCTTAACATATTGATGAGATTTTTCTGATGAAAATGACATCAAACACGACATAATTTGAACAACATTTACTTATTAACACGTTTACTGTCACAAAATATTCATTATTTTAAGCATAAGATTATAGTATTATGCTTATTCTGCTTTATAATTTTTTTTTCAATTTAAAATAATGTCTAGCTAGCTATGGCGTTCAAAATTTTTAGTTGGCAATATTTATTTTATTTTAATTATTCTAAACATTTGAGGCACTCCGGTCACTGATGAACACCATGGCCGCATCAAGGAAACAATCTCCAGTCGCAGGTGACCAACGTGGTAGTCAACGTGTTAATACTTATTGAGTGATTAATTTAATTTCATAATACAGTGACCGAAAAAAGTATTCATACACCCTATAAAATGGAATAACTTTTTTAAAATTGGGCCAAACGATTTGAGTTTTTTTGAGAAGTTAGAAAGATTAGTTTACTAGATGACGTGTAAAAAAATTTTTGAAAAAACTGCAATTACTCGGAATCGCGAAGAAAATTGTAAAGGTCACTGTTTACAACTTTTTTATCTGAGATCGTAATGAAAATTTAAAAAATACGTTTTGTAAATCTATGTCAATTATACACACGCTGAAAATTTCATCGAAATCGGTGGATGGAGAAACAAACGACAAGCATCGAAAGATGTAAGAATCTGCAGATTTATTACAGTTCTAGGCCGAAAGTCGTGAAATAGTGCGATTTTCATAATCTTTAACCGTTTGTAGCTCATAGCAACATTAACCGATTTCGATAAAATTTTCAGCGTGTGTATAATTGACATAGATCTACAAATCGTATTTTTTAAATTTTCATTACGATCTCGGATAAAGAAGTTGTAAAAACGGTCTTCGCTATTTTCTTCGTGATTTTGAGTAATTACAGTTTTTTCAAAAATTTATATAAACGTCGGAATGACGGCAAAAAACCATTTCTCTAAGCCTTATAAAAGTAGCGATGCAAAGTCAAACTTTTTTGACAGCGATCGTTAACCGAGAAGTCACGCGTACGCATTTGTCTGTTCGCGCGCGGATGAGCCTCTGTTCTCCGTCACTGAGCGCGGGCTCTACGCGCGCTCTGATTTTAACCGAGAAGTCACGCGTACGCATTTGTTTGTTCGCGCGCGGATGAGCCTCTGTTCTCCGTCACTGAGCGCGGGCTCTACGCGCGCTCTGATTGGCCAGTGTTTTTCGTTAATAATTCAAAAATGAAGCTTCAAACAACATTTCGGTAAAGGAAAAAGTTGTTCAGAGTCACCCCAGCAACCTCCCATTTTCGGGTGTTCGAGGAGTTACGAGACACCCTGTATATTGGATTGCTTGGGTAGAACTGTTCAGGATCTTTTGACAGCAGTAGAACACGCGCATGTGATGAATCATCTGCTAATAAACAATTACGTTACTTTTTTGTTTGTAATTTCATAGTTACGTTTAATTCTAATGTTGCACTACTAATGTTGCAACCTTATTCTATGCTGCATCGGTAATGTTGGTAGCGACACAAAAATGGTAAGGGTCTTCTCGGGTTCAAAGCCCCGGACAAAACTCTCATAAGATGCTAGGTCTATCCTATACGTTGTCTGTCGTTTGTCACTGATCAACCGAATTTCTCTGATTTTTAAAATCCTATTCTCCGGAAACGTCGGAGAGTGCCCCTTACCACTTTTTAAGTTTATATTGGCTGCATTCTTCCACACTTAAAAAAGAATTTTAATGTAGAAATTGGACAATAGTTCGTAGGGTTTACTAGTTTATATATTATAGTGTATAACAATACATCCTTATTCGGAGATTCAAATATTAAATACTAAATTTTAGTATGTAATACTTGTTGAGCTCAACGATTTATGACACGAACGTGACGAAGAAGCTATATTTGAGCTTAGGATTTTTGTTATTATTAGCGTATTATTTATAGCGTTATTTGTTATTATTACGTATCAGGTAGAAAAAATGTCCTAGTGAGAAAAAATTGGGATTACAATCCTATTTAGAATTTTTAGAAAGTCACTTCTCGCGTCCTCAATAGCCAAGAGCCGTGCCATAACAATGGGCCTTCTAAAGGGCGAACATAGTTTAGTTGTAACGGTCAAGAGGTCGACGAGCTCAAATCTGGAGGAAAATCTTCGCTGTTGCCCGACATCGCCACCTCATCTTCAAGATAACGCGTGTTGAGGGCGCAAGAGAAGAGTGTTACAATGTCTCTTATTGTTAGATATGGTGATTGGCGTTCGAGATTTTCAGAAATCACGAATCAGCGTGTGTTTAGTACAAGGAAGGGCGACTTATTGTTAGAAGGCAGTGTCGCTTCCTTGAAGACAGTTAGCAGGGAATAATCAAACAGTACAGTTCCATAGCAATGAAGCAAGCTTGGCAAGTAGACTAGACACATAGCATATCACCAGAGTAAAATCTAACATAGAGGTTAGATTCTTGGCGTACAGGCCAGCAAGAAACACTATAGGTTTCTTTGTGCGACTGACGGTTTTGTAAATAAAAAGCACAAACAGTGTCATTCAATTCCCAAAAAGGAATCAATCCTTTTGGGTGGTTTTTCAAGAGAGAACTTCAGGTGGCACAGAAGGATGCAATATTCCCAGGCCGACACGATAGTCAGTATCGTGTAAGTCCTCAACAACACTATTTTGCAATTAAAAGTCATATGGCAAAGTGAAGTGTTCAAGCGCCTGACGGTCGAATAACCAATTTGAAACACACACTTCATTATAGACTTTGCTATAATTTATTCATAGCTTGGAAATAGTAAGGAATATATATATATATGTATGTTTCCTTCGACAATGAGTTGATTGAATTTTATTTTTATAACAAAAAGAAATATAAAATTTATGGAAACAACGATTTAAAAGATATGTTCAAATGTGATCATGAGAAGTTTATAGTTTCTTCCATAGTTAAAACAATTTAGCGCGTATCTTTACGTCACTACATGTATTATACTGGGTGTCCCAGTATTGATGGTACAACCAAGGAGGGGGTGATTCTGCATGAACAAATAAGCCGAAAATATCGAATAAAATTTTTTCATAAAAGGCTTAGCTTTCGAGAAAATTCGTTCGTACTTTTATGTTGATAAACAGGGGTAATGTCACGTTTCGTAAAGAAATAGTCTACGCAGAAAATAGTGTCAATCTTCTGCAGCTGAACGAAAAAATTGTACAACGCTTCAGACAATTGTAGCATCAAAATACCGCATGATCAGTCCACGATTCTGATTCAAAGAGTAAGGATTTCAACAAGAACTAACAATTCGTTCAGTAATGTAAATTTAAATTAAGCAAATCGTTAATAAATGTAGTATCGGTATTTATTAGTACAAACATAAGTCGAGATGTAGTTAAACGCACTACTTGGAGAATATTTAATGTCGATTTTCTTGTAAACTAAGCCTCAAACGAAAAAAATTTATTTTATATTTTTTACTTATTTTTTCATATAGAATCACCCTCTCATCGGTTGTACTATCAATACTGGGACACCCTGCATATGCATTGAATAAATTGATTATGAAAGATATAATAGTGAATACTTACATTTACAAAATGTCAGATACATTATTTTTAAAGTAAATAAAGGGAACACATACATATGTAAACGAATTCCATGTTTATTTAAATTAAATATGAATTATATAGTATATTAGTATACTAAATAAAATTTTGTTTATTCTTTTAGTACATCAAATATTGTAATATAATCAAAACGTCTTAAGTTGATTTTTAGTGTGACATTGCCTGTAAAGTACTTATAAATACATATCAATACTTAGTGCATACGACATGTTTTATATGTAAATTATTATATTACACAAATTGAAGAAAAGATTATAAAATAAATTTGCTTGTCGATCCAATTTAAAGCTTGTTAATTTTTGTAACTGTTAATAAGACAATTCTATGTATATGTCAATTTAAAAAAACAATATACTCTATAAATACAAATATCGTAGACTGTATGGCATGTAAAAATAGTTTAATTCATTATATTAAAAATATATTCATTTGGATATTTTCTTTTTTATAATCGGCACACAACCACGTTATAAAGCTTTGCTCTAGAAAGGATCTGGTTCGCTGAAGCGAGACGGTATGTTTGTATAAGTAAGTCACGACTTCAATGTAAATGTCAGCGAACGTAACTGAAAAGGATTCGTGATAAAAGATTATTGACGTAATAGATTTTTACAAGGCAGTCGAAAATAGAAAGCAGTTTGGAAAATGCTCCAGGCATCTGCGAACTGTATGTTTTGTAAAACTCATAATGCAATTGCGATACTAATTTCTTATAATGAAAACGTTCTAAACTGATACCTTCAATTTTTTTAATTTTTCTTTACATGTTACATATTTCAGATTTTTTAGTCAATTCTTAAATTAAATTGATCATTGCTTATTGTTACTGTGTATTGCGCGTGTAAGTGGTAAATTTAGTTTCTGGAAGACTGCGAGTCAGAAATGTATTAAAGCAACAAGAGTGATATATAAAATGATCGTTGGATAAAGATTTATCTAAATAATTCTCAGTCGCATGATTTTAGTAACGCGGTGCATAATAACCTCGCAGTTAGGTCGAAAGTCGATCATTTTGCAACAAAATGTATTTTTTCGTTTTCACGAAAAGTATAAATCCATATCTAAATAATGAATAACGTAATATTAAAACTAGATTTAAAAATATATTATTCTTGTTTTAATTGTAAAAAAATACAACTGTGTGTTTTTGCGGTTTTGTAGAGATACTTTACAGTTTCCTACTTGCACTGTAACAGATTTTTAATTTTGAATGGTCACAAATGTAAAGTTACGATAAGAAGTAGTTTATAAACTGTGACGGTAATAAGAGTTGAAAATTGCCACAAAAAATGTTTAACGTTTGTAGTTTACATTGTATTCATTTTTTAAAAGTGTCTTTTAGAAGCAATGTATCACAGCGGAAAAGTATTAATTATTTCTTATGGACAGTTTGCTGTTCCGTCGATACGTTGCTGACTTTAAGTAATATTAAAGCTTTACGTGTTTTCATCTAATTAATAACAATTCATTTCAGCAAAAATTCGTGTATATCTAATTAATCAGAGTAATATTTATAACTCTGCAATTTTTTCTAGAGCCGCTATTTCATTTTCTTCTCTTCTAGCCGTGTGCGTATCTATAAATGAAAAAAGGTATGTGTGCGTATACATATATATACCGCGTGAGTCACCTAAGAATGGAAGCTGGAATATTTTCAAAACTGTTAACCCCTTAACCTATGATTTCTTTTCCGACTATGCATCTAAGCGTCAGCCATTTACTGTTTCAGTACTGTATCAGGTAACAAAAGCTAATCTGTTACAGATTAGTTACATTTAGTAATCGTCAGTCTTGCAAATTAAAACGAAAGATAGGATTACAATGAATTTTTCTTATTAATACAACTATTTTTCTCACATCTTCACCAGAATCTCTGCCACGAGTTATAGGTTAAAGAGTTAATTATCGAAAAAGTCTTCAAACAAAAGTTGAATGGTTTCGAGGGGACATTTTTTAATTGTAAATTAAATTAGCTTAGAAGATATTTTAACTTCAATCTTGTAGAACCTACCATATGAATGATACGGAAAAATGTGAAAGAGTATACATACACTATCGGCCAAAAGTTTGGAATCACCTCCCACTTTTCATCAATATTAAATCTGCTGCTACTTTTTTTATAGATTTCAAGTTTATCTCAATTCTACGTTTATCAATTTATCTCATGTCAATTGATTCGAACGATAAAAAATTCTCAAAGTCGCTGACTTCTTTCTGGAAATTTTTATGTAAATTGCAATGCTCGGTGATTCCAAACTTTTGGCCGGTAGTGTACATATACAATGGAGACGAGGACAACATAAACACAGGAATACCGCTTCGCCTCTCTCCTTGCCTTTCTTGCTACAAATTCTACAAAATTGAAGTTCAAATATCTCCTGAAGTAATGGCTTTCGATATAAATAGGCTGGTACTTTTTTTTATAGAGAATGATTAGCTGAATCGATTAATGCATTAAAAAATATACAATTCCATTAAAAAAAAAAAACCTGACCATCATATGTCCTCTACGCGTCTAGTTACAAAAATGCTAGTTATATCAAACAATGTCCCCCTTGAAACCATTCAACTTTTGTTTGAAGCCTTTTTCGTTATTATTAACAGTTTTGAAAATATTTCAGCTTCCAGTCTATAAAATCCATATAAAAGTCTTAAATTTGTTCTCTATAAGAAAAAATAATCGTTCAACATAATAGACAGTATAATATTTTTGCCTGAAGTAATTTTTACTTGAGAATAAAGTTGTTCGATTACCTTTTCATAGTTCTTGTCCTCCGAATGTTTTCTAATCGCCTTTTATTTCTGTTAGCATTAACTTTTGCTTCGTTAGCTGCAGCATTCGCTTTATTAGCCGCACGGTTTGTATTAGCGAGTTCCTGCCTAGCAACTCTCAGCTGATTCGACAATTCTTCGGCCCGCCTTTTCGCCGCATCTAACAATTCCTCTTTCTCTCGTGCAGTTTTTTGAGCTCCAGTTGCAGCGGCCTGTGCGTTGGCTGCGTTTGCCTTGGCTGTTTGCATTGCATGTGTCAGTGTCTTTACCTGCGTTACAACCAAGAGAAAAAGGAAATAAGGTAAAACGATTTCTTCGACCGACTCAGCGTTCCAGTATTTTACGATACTGAAAGTATTTCTCGGTAATAACCGATGCCTTATGCACCGCAATAATGTAACGATTCGTATAAAAAACTGAACTATTTTCAGTGAACGGTTAAATGTACGTACGTGTATACTTAAGATGAGTTATTTATTGTTCAGAAGTGATATCGGAACTTATATCCTTATGTTTATGTTTATTTTTCAGCAATTAACTGAAACATGTTAACTAAGTACATACATATGCAAGGTGTAACTTCTGATTGCAATTGAAAGCAAAAAGAAGAATTTCACTCCCTTTTCCAGTGTTTCAATGCATGTAACCTACGAGTATATTTGCGTCATGTATGAATCACATGTTGCATATTCTTTGAAGTTTATTTCAGCTGCAAATGCTATTGTTTGGACTCTTCTAGAATACTACTGTTTTATTTCTTTAAAATTGTATGCCCTTGAAATAAGGAATTTTTCAATTATTGACAGAAACGAGAAAAATAAATAATACTGAAACTAAAGAATCCTCCGAGGGGAGTTAAAAATATTTATACAAACAATTTAGTATTGTATACAAAAAGTAGAATAAAGTAAAAATGTTTCTTTTTCTATCTATTGATAAGTTTGTTTCGTTTAAGCTTAAGCAATTGAGAAATGTACGCGAACTTTGATTTGAAAATAAAATTATTTTCATCGTCGGTCCATTGTTGAATTGAATTATTGAGTTTACTTATGTCACCTGATCTTGAGATTGCCGCGCCGCTTGTAAAGCAGCGTTAACATTGGCTTGTTCTTGTTCCAGAGACGAGGACTCTTCCTGCACAACTGATTGTGCTTCTCTTACTTCTTCTTGCAGTTGCTGTACTATTACTTTCTTCCCTGAGAGTACATCTTCTGCAGCTTTCGCAGCTTGTACTGCTTTTTCGGCAAGCTGTGTTTTCACCTACACGGTCGAGTACATTATCTTTTTACGCAACTCAGACAACGCTACTCTTCAGTTTGAAGTGTACGTACTGTTGCAACAAGCAATTGTAAAAACGAATTTACTTTATGGTCCTACTGCTCTGCAATTGTCAATCACGTTACGTATAGTGAAACGTAAAACTATGTAACATAATTACTTTCACAAGCGTTAGTTCTACTTATTACGTGAAATTTAGAGTTTAATGACTTCTTATAAAACACGAGTTTGCTTTGTGTTTTCGGAATGAGAAATAAACCGTATGCACATAAAATATGCGCGTCAATTCCATATGTGAAAAACGAGTCTGACAACGGGACTTATTTAATAGGATTCGATTGAAATTTGATGTAAAATGAATCGTTCGTTGATTTTATTACAATTGGAGTATTTCACAATAGCACTTGAAGAAAGCAGATTAATTTATAACGTTTAATAATCCAACACTGTAAACACGTATGTAGAAAAGTATGTACTTGACGTGCTGCTTGCTGACCAGCAATATTCTGTGCTTCTGAAGCAGCTTTAGCTTCCTGTGCAGCTTTTTGCGCGATACTGCTACTTTTCTCCGGCTTTTTATGATTATTTCCTCCATTGCGTTGACAATTTCGGCCATCAGCGTAACGCATCTCCCTTTGATTCTATTAGTAAAGGTACAAATAAAGGTAGGGGAAAAATAAATTTTCCCTCTAGAAAGATTTCGGAAACATTCAACTTTTACCAAGCTATTTCCACTACACACATAACTGTATTATCTGAAAAATCATTATCTGAAAAAAGTACGTAACTTTTGCTATTTACAATGTGAATAAGTATAAAAAATAATAGTGATAAAATTGTTGTATTGCAAAATGTATCATAATAAGTATTCATGAAGCTAATTTGAGTTTATCAGTTGGAGGTTACTAAGTGATTCTTTCTTAGAATGAAAAAAAGGAATGCGTGAATAGTAATTTTGCAAATGGATAATAAGAAACTTACTAAAGTTACCGGAGACTTATAAATCCTTCCGCAATCAAAATATTCCAGCATCAATAGTACTAAAAAATGATATTTATTTGGTTAGAAGCTAAATGCTAACAGTTTTTTAACAGTACTCACCGATGTAAAGAATATAAAAGATGTACATTCTGAAGCAAAGAATTTAGGGATATACCGGATTGTAGTTCATATAAAACATCATATACGAGAATACAAAATTATTTTTAATTAGTATGATATACGAAAGCACATTGACAAGAGAAACGAATGAAACGCGGTTGTATCGAATTTGTATATCGAGAAAATTTGTGCACATAACAGCTTGTAATATTTGTTTTCAAATATTATTTAATTGATATTTTTGCGTACCTATATGAAAATAATACAATTGTAAAGAGTAGATACGATGATCTCTTGCGTAGAAAATTTTGGCAATTTTTAATACGGTATATCATTTTATGTTCAATTATTCGTTATCAGAATCAAATACTTGAATGTACACTTTTGCTACTCTAAATGTCGATTTCACATACGAAAAGAAATTACTTTTACATTTGCTTGCTTGTTCAAATGCCTCTTCGTGTTTTAAAATACGAATGTGAGTATAAATTGCAAAGTGTTTTATTATTCAACAAGATATGAAATGAAATTGCAAGTTTCTTATAATGTACCGTAATATAATCTTTGTATAATAATAACAGCGCAACGCATTACGCAGTATTCAAATGTCGTTTATTTTCCTTTTTTCCAAATGCTTGTGCATTTCGTATACGATACTGAAAATCTAGTTCAAAACGTTTAAGAAAGCACCGAACGTATGTGAATGTATTTTTTCGTTTCGTAATAAATTTATCTAAAAAGAATTATTAAAAAAATTTAAGTATAAATTTTAGCGTTATAATTTTGTAGAATAAATGATTCACCGTTATTCCGAATATCCTGAATCCCTTCCGCAACCACCGTACTACTATTAACTCTGACAAGTACAGACCTATAAGAGCTACGATAATCAGGTAAGTGGTATCAGTTCTTAGTTGTTTCCTCGAGACTAAGGAACACCGATTCTTTACACGTTTCACCAGTTTTGAAGTTCGTGAGTATTCAACATTTGTTTACGCTAAATTACTTTACAATTACGAAGAAAGTATCGTTAATAGATTCGGAATAAAGTGTACATAACTTTTTCCCAAATATGTCGCAATAATAAAATATCACGTAGTTAGTATGGCATTTTCGTCTGGTAACAAGTGTTTCATAAAACGTTTTTAAGTGTGTGTTTGAAATAATGCTTCAATTTAATATTTGACATGAACCTAGCGGATAATAGTTACGGATACAATTTTGGATGAAGGAATTACTCGTTAGAAAACTTGTAGCTTCTTAAAGAACGATCAATTATTTCTCAATTAATAAAATATACAAAATATTTAATTTTTCTTCAAGTTAGGTAACTTTTGTATCTTGAACAGCATCGTACCTTAGAAGTTTACGTTGTACTTGTGTATTCATTGAAATTAGAATCTGCTATTTGTACATGCATGCACAATTTATTTTTTTAAGCTATTAATTTTATCCTTGACGGATGAAAAATCTCTCACGACAAACGAAAAATCATTAATATGAAATCTCCATTAATGGTGTCTGCAACGAGACGTATCTTATTCAAAAGGAATTGCAGTTTCTATTGGACATGCAGTATGCATTCATTCATTCACAATATAGTCCAAGTTATTTGGTGAACGTGTGTGTATGTAACAGTATTGTGTACATTTTGATTTTTAATTTAACGATCATTTAAATCGATTAAACAAAGTTGTCGTAATAAATCTAATTAAACAAGTATTAAACAATCTTTATCAGTTTAACGAAATTTTTGATAAATTGTATATCAAATCAATTATATATTCGATCATTTTTCTGCACGAGTCTTTTCAAAGCTGTATATTACGTGGAATTAAATTCAGTGATTGAAAAATAGTGAAAACAATAAATGATGAAAATAAATAAATGAAAATAGTGAAGATGACACTATTTCGAAGATAATAAAATTGATTAATCGGGATCACTCATGTTTCAGTTATTTAACCAAGTTGACATACATACATATTCTTCACGATATTCTAAAGTCATGAATTATTGATGCAATACAAGTAACAGTTTCTTTTAATTACGCTTTCAGTGTTATGGAAAGTATTGTACTTGGAAGGTATAATACATTCGTGATAGTTACATATTTTGTGTAGTTTATTTAGTTTTTATTATTCCGAAATTTAGGAATAACTGTATTACGAAGCATATTATTGTACAAATATTGCCTTAAAATAATAACACTTTATGCGATTATTTCTAAGGATGACATTTTCTCTTATTAATTTATCAATAGAGTTCCTTTTAAGAAATGTACATTTTTCGCTGCAACTAATTATACTTGATCAATTTTGTTGTTTCAAATTTCTAATCTAAACCGTAATATCCTACACTTTATATATCAGTGTAAATTATTTTACTCTTTTGCCATTAAGTATTAATATGTAATTTTAATTACATCAATTTTACCTTGATGTTCTTTGTTCTATTACATTATTGCAAATCAAGTACAGCATAAATTAAATTTGATTAAATTCATTTCATATCTACGTCTGTTATACTTTCTCGTCGATTCTTATCGACTCGTCTTTATTGAGTATCTTCATTGATACGGGATAGAAAGGCCGCTTGAAAGAAACATAAAGGACGCTTTTCGTTATTACACGTTCTTGTGCACATGCTTGTCACCGCACACGAATAAGATCTACTTCATATTGATTCAACTATCTACTTACACGGATAGGATGCTTTTTAGAGCGCAACGGAACTGAACATTTAGTTTTGAAGCGTTGTGAATTGCGACAGAGTTGCACTAGAAAAATGAAACGTGCGTCATAAATGATCTGCGTCAATTCTGAATTTCGCAAAACATATATAACTATATCAAATAGTAATTCCGCGAACGGCCTTAAATATATTGTTAAAAGAGAATTTGTAAAAAAAAGCAATTAATGGAGCAAAATTTGATCGATATTTTCAAAAATTTTATTCAAATTCTTTCGGAAATACTGATTATTATAAATCGAAATGTGCAGAGAATTTTCACAAAGATATTAAATTTCCTTGCAACTACCCTGTCTATTTAAAAAGAACATCAATTGATCGATAGTGAAAATAGTTGAATTTCTGAAATTGAATTGTAATAGGTAGGTGAGAATTTAAATTATAATAAAGGATGCATATATACATAGGTATATACATACATTTTCTGAAAATGTTGTAAACACTTTTAATTAATAGAATCCATACA